GTGGGGGGGGGTTGGGTGGTGATATAAATTTGACAAATAAATCTAGTGGGGGGGGGTTGGGTGGTGATATAAATTTGACAAATAAATAAATAAATAAATCTCCTTTCCCGGGACTTAAGGAATGCTTCTGTCGTCTTTATTTACATAATGGTTTCTGAGTACTTGCTTCAAGGCATTCTCTCTGGCTCTCTACAATTTTAAGTATTTTTTTAAAGAACTGTTATAACACACTTCACATGCTGAATAGGGAAAGCACTCTTTATACATACAGATTTCAAAGATGGGTATTGAGGCTGGGGCTACCAGATCTGCATTGCAAAAATGTAGGCAGTCACAAGAAAGATGAACTGAAAACTCTTTGCTGACATCTAGTGATTTTTACAGCCCTGATCTGGTAGCCCTAGAATAGGCAGTTAAATATAGCTATCCTGTAAATAATAATTAACCTTTATCCCCTGGAAGTCTGAATGCCAAGCAATGTTACGCTTACATACACATATCAGAAAACCACTGGCTGCTTTTTCCAGATAAAAGCAATTTGGGAAGGGGGGGATTTAGAGAGAGTGGGGAAAAGCTTACTCCCTTCACACACACCTCTTGTTGATCTGTCTACACGTGCTTACAAAAGGGGGAAGAGGTGATAGGGACAACGGGGATTTTAGGGACACTCTAGTCCCTCCTCTCTGTGCCCGGAGGCCAGAATGGAACTTTTAACTTCCAAGTAACTCTCTCTTTTGGGTTTAAGCAGAAACCTAAATTCCCCTACAGCTAATAGAAAGCACAAGTGTGATTAAGGAGTTCTGCCTTAGTAACTTTTTGTCCCAGTGTTTGGTTTTAACAAAACCTAGTTATTCAAATAATCTGTGGTTACCTTATTTTGTTCTAAAACACTGGTCCAGATGTGCAAGAAAGTTCTTAGACAGATCTTGCTGCCTCCCCCAACCTTTTCAAAATGATCGTGTGCTTTCTAGGTATGAAGCAGGCCCTCCTTATATTTATCTCAGCACTTGGAAACTAATGACAAAGCAAGAGATCAGAAACATCTGAAAATTAAAAACTTTATTGTTCAGAAAAAAACGAGTAGTTTGTAGAGTCAGATGATACAAGGAAGTGGGTTTCTTCACACAAAAGTTGTGAAATTTGCTGCTGCTCCCTTCTGGTTCCATAGAGGATCACTTATTGATGTTTCACCAGTTCAATGTTTATAAAGATCTTTACAGTCAACACTGGGAAAAAATGCTGGATTGCAGATTGTGTGTATACAAAGGTAGAAAAAAGGGGCAACTGACCCCATTGGGGATTGTGGGCTGAGGAGTCATGCCTGAAGAATAATTCAGCAGCATCTTGAGCAGCCCTGAGAAGAAAAGGGATATGTGTCTCTCACGTCCATAAGTATCAAAGTTTGGCAAGAGTTACTAAAAGAAAGCCCAAGTGTGTCTCAGAAAAAAACAATGAGAAAGTGGTGAAGCTCCTTAATCATTTGATTTTCATCAACTATATTATATTCTTTCTATTATATAATATTATAATATATTACTCCCTTCACACACACCTCTTGTTGATCTGTCTACACGTGTTTACAAAAGGGGGAAGAGGAATATTTACCAATATTTTACTCCATCATGGATCAACATGGCAATCTTTGATTTTTTTTATCAACAAGCACTCTGATAACTACTTTTAATCCTGTACTTCACACATTTGGTAAGAACGGTTGGATCTAATTCGCTCATACTTCATTACAAATGTTCAGGGATGTGGTAGTAAAGAGTATCCTGGCATGTTTTGCCTAACTGTGTGTGTACAGTTTGGGTAACTCAGCCTGCAGCGGCAATAAGACACTCTGAGATATCCCATGAAAGCTGAAGGACAGCCCGTGAAGAAGTTGTGGAGAGGAAACTTATTTAGGGAGGGAAGGAAGCAGCGCCTACCAGTCCAGAATATAAATGATGCCAAATGAAATATGGCACTTACTCATAGACCCCAGCTCAGGTTGCCATGATATGTTTGACAAATGCTGTGAGAGAGAAAAGAGAGAATTATCACCCACTCTCTTAATTTTGTCCCAGGGCTTATTTTCACCTAAAATGATTTAACTTGAGGAAGCTGTCATTCATTCATTCAT